ATTGAAATTGAAATTGAGTACTGATTTTGCTGTGCAGGTGTACAGCAAACAATAACGTGAACGGGGTTGCAGCAGTTTAAGAACGATCATGGAAATGTAGAAAGGAAGTTAAAATAGAACATATACGCAAAGCAGTAAAATCCGCAAGGGACGAATTAAATGTAGTCTCGTTATAACGAGACGTGATTGGAAGGAAGTTCCCCGGTGTGGGATAGAGAGTGGGTTAGGGCCGTTTGCAGACATAGCTTCAAGGACTGATACAGTTGCTAGGGGAAGGAAAGACAAACGAAAATGATTTTAGAGCTCCCGCCTATTTTCAACTGCCGTGTGAAGAGGTGTAGAGGAAGGTACTAGTGCCGTATCTCTCCACCGTTGACCCTGCCCCGCAATGACTATCGCTAACCGTCTCATTTTCTCTCATTGTCAGCGCCCCACACCTACAGTTTTCCACAGCGCTGGGCCTCCCCGGTAATTTACCGGATACAAGAGCTTACCCCTCATTCCGTATGGCACATTTGCACACAGGACAGAGCTAATCTGCCAGTGTTTTTCAGCTCATGGGCTCGTCTTCTAATCTTAGGCAGCATCTGAGTTTCGTGGTTTGCCTCGTCCATTTTTTTGCCCACGATTTCATGGGCAAAATTCGGTGGGGTAGATGTGTCTAATGCATTCTCCTTTAAAGGGACCATGATCTCGTCCAATTGATTCCCCCGACCTCAGAGGTCTACGAGAATTGACCGAACTGACGTAGTCGAATCGTCCTGGAGAAGCTTTCGCTTTGGGTACATCAATTTGGCCAAATTGGATGCAGGGCTCCATTTTAGCTCAAGGATTAATGACATTGGAATATTTTGTTTATGAAGCTTTGGCAGACTCTAGAATCAGGCCAGGACAGTTTTTGTTGAGTTCATTCGGCGTTATTCAATATAATTTCTTCAACTCACTTGTTACTGCCATAGCTTATGGGTTCTGTGCTGGTCTGTAAAATTCTGTCATCAAGTGGAGTCTTGTTCTTGTCGTTTTAGTTTACTCTGTTCGGTTCATTGCTTTTGCTACTCTCTTCTAAGTACACTGAATCCGTCTGTGTGTCATCAAAAGGGCAGAACTACGTAGAATTGCGTATTCCTGTCTTGTTTGTGATGTACTAGGGCCGAATTTTTCCCTCGACGATCAACTAACTGAGAATGTTGACTCACGCCTTTGTATTTTGCTGTATCATGGTCTTGTATTCCTGTATTCACCGTCTGCTTGATGAACCGCCTCATAATTTCTTGATACACATCTTGCTTATCGGAAACCTCCTATCTTAGGCACCGCTGCTCTAGTCCTTCTCGGGTAAATTCATGCAAAATATGTAACTGCTCGTACGTTGCTGCCCCTCGTGCTGGGAATATGCCCTAACTGCGGTCTCTATAAAGTGCATAGTGCCCACATATTTCACAAATGGAGGCGAGTGTTCATGTTTTAGGTTTTTTTAAGAAGGAAGACCAGTCGGGCACCGGAATCATTTAGTTGTCTATGTTTTCGAAATCGTGCAGGATTCCATAAGCAGATTACTTTCACTAATATTTAACAGTATCTTGCATTGGGTGACTATTGAGAGGTCTGTTGCTGTCAGACACCATAGAAGCCTACACTTTATGAAAAAATTAGTCGTCTCTTCATTTCATTTCTCACATTAATCGACATTTATTGTCAAAACTTTGTATTTCTCAATTATATCTCCAACTGCTCTCCTAAATTAAACACTGAGTAGTTGTACTTTCTCTTGTGCTGGAAAGTACTCCTTGGACGTATGTCATTCAGTCAATTTCTCCGGGCTGACAGTCAAAGGTTCTGTAAATTATGGTCCTTAAAAATTTTGGCCATAATAAATTTGTTCAGCTTGTTATCCTGGGTATTTAAGATTTTGAAAGACCGGATTATAATTCCATCCCAATTCCTATGAAACGCGCTCGGAAAAAAAGATTTCCAGTAGTAACTGCCTTTATGAAATGATATAAGTCCCCGTCGGACTCAGGACGTACGTGTATATTCACGTTGCGTAAGTGGTCTTACGAGTACGAAGATTCAACAGAATGATTGTTAGAACTCGCTTTAAAATTACGGCCAGTTATCTAAAAGGTGCTTATTTGACTGTTCTCCGAGTCATTAAGAAACCGAAAATGGCGGCTATGTAAACTTTCGAGTAACTTTGGGGTCAGAGTTGTGGCGAGTACCATCGTAACCTATGTCATAAGGTGCGCTATATTACGTAATACGCCAAGACATCAAACATGTTATTCCAACCAGTCACCTTCAGAGGCGGAAAAGTTTATGGCTTGTTTGCTCTTGATGACTAGCGTTCTTCCATAGATATTAAAACGGTTGATCTTTTCATCAAACCCCCCTAAACAACGCCTTACCGTACTTTCATATTAAAATTCTAACTTACTCCCCAGCGCAAGTATTGTTAGTTTATACACTAAATACTTCACTGGGGCATAAAGCAAACGGTTCTGCTCTGCTTGTAAAACCTTTGCATATGAATCATTAGTATTGCCCTTAGAGGGAAATATTAGCACCGACTTTCGAAATAACTACTACGCATCCAGTGTATGCCTCTTTACTGACTCTTTATATAGCTCCTCGATTAGTTCAATGCACTTCGAATAATATATCAACTCGATGCATAATTCCTGTAATTAATGATAGAACCCTGAACCGAAGTGATAAGATCATTCTCCATTAGACCCAAGCATGTTTACCTGTTTCGGGTATTTTCGACACCGTAAAAATTCCAAACTTTAAGACCACATTTAACGGTAATACCCTATACTTCGTCGTTACGCTACCGTTCACGTCCCCCCCTTTTTGATTTTTATCCTTTGCTGCCAAACGTTGAATTAAGGAGTCAATAAATATTCATTATTTTGAAACTGTTTAGAAAGAAACTTCGATTGTTGCCAGAACTTCCCCCCATTGCCGATAACACATCTCTCACACCTACACAAAGTCCGAAAAAATGGCATCGAGCGAATGCACATTTTTTAAACATTTACTTCTGAAAAGAAGGAACAGACGGTACCTTGCCATCTTAAAATTCGCCTACTTATTTTATTTGGGCAATTATACTCCGATAAAATGGGCACAATTGTAGTGGTGCAATTACCGGTTTTTGGGTACAGGGTTCTAAGGTTAGGCTAGGAAATTTCTTCTCGCAGAGTGTGCTCTCCTCCGATTTCTTCAGCCCCACCCGCAACACCCCATATTCCCATCATTCCCATAGTACAGACGTACTTGCCTCTCTTTTAATTGGTGGGGCTACGAACGATACGGCTGCCAGCAAGGAGGCCAACCTTGTTTCTAGTAGTAACTGACAAAATTTGTTTTTGCTTTAAAGCTACTAGGTTCTTTGTCCGCATTAGCGCGTTGTTAGCAGCACCTTCATACACACTTAACCGCCCCCTTTTATAGGCCGATAAGGAATAATGACCTCGAAAGCGTCCCCTGGTCAAGAAACTCCACAACACTACGCCTACCTCCGGCATTCTTTTCTGCCCCAGGTGAGGTGGGAGCAGTTTATCGCGGGCTTGGCCGGCGGGGCAATGAGTACGTTGGTGTTGCACCCTTTGGATCTGGCCAAAATTCGTCTTCAAGTCAACGAAGGCACAGGTGCTGTCACTGCTCGGTTAGTTTACCCTGCTTGTTACAGTTGATTCTTTTTCATCTAAAACCAGACATTTTAGTGTAGTCCTTAAAGGGTGTTAAGTGCATTGACTTGTACTTCTTGCTATATGTCACGGACCTCTTATTGTTTAATCTTTTCATCCCTTTTCCATCCTTCCTAGCCCGCGTAGTACTCGTTTGATAGGCACCTTAAGCGAAGTGTACAAAGCTCGTGGTCTTCTTGGGCTATACCAGGGCATCACGCCCAACCTTCTAGGAGCAGCATCTGCATGGGGCCTCTACTTTTTCATGTAAGTCATTTGCTTTTCAATGATCCAGCTACTCGTGCCTGTCTGTTCAGGAATTTATTATTTTTTCCCCTATAAGTATTTCTTTTAATTTCCCGATACCAAGGAAAATACATATTTCTATAGTGAGTTATTAGGGGCTTTGGCAAATTTGCTTGCTTCAGTTGACCAAATTGTGAAAAATCCGCGGTCTCGGTGGGAGTTGAACCCACACAGCAGGGAAGGCTTTGGCGTAGCCAATGCCCTACCATTGAGCTACGAGGCCCACTGTGCGCCGTGAATTTAATCACACTTGGATCGATTTTATCCGCCCAACTTACCTCCCGTATGGAATCGACCATTACGGGTACAGTAAGCTGACTGCCCAGGCAGGATTTCATAAGCAATCATCTAGAATCCATCAGAATGACTCTGACATACCACCCATAAGAGGTTTCTTCGAGTCCTCGTTCATTGGGCTAGACTGTGTCGGATTTTGACCCTTCTATAACATTCCTGTCAGGATCAGCCGGTTGGATATCCAATATAACAGATTGACCATCGCCCCCGACGACTAATGAGTCTTTATTTGCGTGTTCTAGGCATTCACGGAAAATCAGCTGGACATGAAATAAACGGGATTTCCATTTTAACCGGGTTTTAGGTTATATCGTAAGATGGCAGAGGCCAATACAACCCTGCCTAATTGCCGATATCACTTTTCACTTTTT